CTTTCACCCCCGACCCAGCCCTGACACTGTGCCCGCCGTCGCTGGGCGCAGGCCGAGGGGGGCGGGGCAGAGCGAAAGACGTCACCCGCCGCGTCCATAAATCATTCGATGGATATTAACAATCTCCGCGCCGGGCCCGCTCAGCAACATCGTTCCCACATTCTCACCTGCTTCTGTCCTGTACAAACCGAGCTCATTTCTGGGGCTAAGTGGGAGGAGCTTCCTTTGCCATGATCACATGACTGGTCCTAACTTGGTAATGCAGTGAGCTCTGAATATGCAGTGAGCCAGTGACAAGAGGCGGGGGAAAGCGGCCCGCCCCTGCAAGGTGTGTATTGTACCTTCATGGCCAGGACGAGGAGGGCGCCCTCTGTCGGCTGTCCCATCAAGGTGCCGTTGCGAATGTCGGAGTTGTTGGCGACGCACCCGGCCTGTCACGGAGAAGAAGATCAATTATTTGGAACGTGGACTTTGATACAGGCAAGACATTCAACCCCCCGCCCCCTTCCCGGGGGAACACCGCACACGGTCCACAATGCAATGCTCAAACTGTTTAAAAGGCTCTTTGGCTCCTCCCACTTCGAACTTCCACCCTCAGGGGCAAAAGCCGAGTTTCTCTCATAGTGGGAAAGGAGAAGCAAGTTGGCGCTCATCTGGTAACCCAGCAACGGATTCCACGTACCACACGAGTGTCAACCTGCCTCTCACTCTTCCCATCGTAATCCCAGCCCTGGTGAAGGAGTGCCGGAGCCCCCGAAACGCGTCAGCTGTTTAATATCATCTTGTTATGAATGAATGGACTCGTTACTTTTGGTTTGGCGCTCTTCTTAGACCCGTTCCGTTACCCTGTGATCAATAAACTGAACCGGGCACCTGGATACAGCTGAACGCTATGCAGCTCGGGCAGGGCCGGATTCCCCACAAGGCCACCGAGGCGCTGGGCGCAGAAGGGCGCCAGCGGTGTCCTTGTGGGGAAGAGAACCTGTCACCTCCCATTGCCATCACACAGGGGCTTGTTTTCTTCTCTGTGATAACAATAAAGTTAGATGAAAAAAAAAAATTTGAATAAAAAAAAGAATAAAAAAATAAAAAAGGTGATTAAAAAGTAAAAAAAAACAAAAACAAAATTATAAAATAAGAAAATAATTATAAAAAATAAATAATAAGATGTATAAAAAATAAAAAAGTAAAACGAAAAAAAAATGAAAATTAAAACTAACCCTGCCG